AGTGGCGTGACTATTTGGACTTTCCACACGAAATTGTAGCCCCGTGTGTAGCCGCGATGTGTAGCTCGATAATCGATTTTTGGTAGAGCGAGATAGATATATTTGTGCGAGAATCCACATTGCGCCCTGAACAATTTGACTTTTGATATTATGTAACGAAACGTGACGTGTAACGTTTCGAAAGACTCGAAATGAAGCGATGTCGCTCTTGTCCTACGTCAGATATCGTAAATAAATCATGTATCCGCATAGAGAAAGTATACGAATATAAAATAAATAAAAGTGATATATAAACAAGTATAGTATGGAAATATATAAATCTAAAAATCTTTTTGAATTCAATATATCGGATGTCATCTAAAATTTATTTATGAAATGTAAGGATTTCATTTTTAAAATTGCTCGTGCAAACCAAAAAACATGTTTTCCCGAAACAACGTTTATTTTTATGACTCGTATTCTCACTTCAACTCACGTTTATTTGAGGAAAGTGAATTTAGAATATGGATGTCTATGGACATGTGCTCATGCGTGAATTATGATAATTCTTGTTTAAGTAATTATATACATAATTATCTAGATGCACAACAACGTAATTAAGCGGCCTTTAATAGAGTTTTTGAAAATTAGTTGCACATTGATTGCATCTGCATTGTGTTTATAATTAATCTATATGTTTGTTATCTCGTTTACAAGATTTACGATATTACATCAGTGATTTACGACACACGTTTATCTTCGTTATAGCGAAATCGCGATGAATTTCTCGCTGGTTAGCGTCGGCGCAAAGTCATGCGCAGAATAAGTTCTCCAATCATTATTTTTCCGACAGTGGATATTCATTTTTTTACTACCTGCAATATAGGACTAATTAACATCTTACTTCTCGTCAAATAATTTTTAATTCCTGTCTCCCTTCTCTTGGGGGGATTCTCCTTTAAGGTTATATTACATTTATTTTTACTTATGGAATAATTATGAAAAAATTATGGTTTATTCTAGGTCGCATTTAAAAGTAATATAAAAAATTTTGCCACGATTTAAAGTCTGGAGAGATTAAAGATTGTTTAAATAAATAAGCTAAATGTGCTCTAATGGTGGAAATGTAATTAAGAAATATTGATAAAAATCACAATTTTTTTTATATGAGTAAGTGCTTAAGATTATTTATGTAAATTTTATTGCGATACGGAGATTATTTGTAACGTTTGTAAATAAAAATTAAATTTTTATTAAAAATACAAACAGTTGATGATACAAGTTGATGATAAAATAAGATTTTTATTTACAGGACAATTAATCTCTACATCGCAATAATAAATTTTTATATAAATAATTGTGAATATTTAAAGTACTTATATAAAAATATTCAGATTTTTGTCATTATTTTTCATTTTTATTAGAACATACTTTTATTTATTTATTTAAATAATTTTTTTATCTAAATTATAAATTATCATTAAACTTTTTGTTATTATTTTTAAATGTGATTTTTAATCTGTAAATTTTTTATAATTTTGTCATTGTAAATATAAGAATTGAGATATGATGTATTCTTAAGAAAAATGACAAAAGAAAGGAAGTAAATTAACACAATTGTAATTGGATAAGATTATAATTTTTATCTTGTTTTTTCTTGTCTATGATGTACATTACGAATACACTACAAATATTGTATGAATTTTGATAATATTCATATTTTTAGAATATTATGAAATTTAGAATATTTCTACAAGAAAAATTTGAGAATATTAGTTATTTTCGATTATAATGAATTTTTACATTAAAAAAAGGGAAAAGATTAATTCTACATTAATATTTTTAACAATATAATAACATTACTTTATTTTACATTGTAATATATTCTAGTATTATAACAGTATTATATAAAATTACACATTGATTCCATAATGTAAAATAAAGTACTGGTATAATACCAGAATAACTCCGAAAAGTTATGTATTTATTTCAGTTGGTTTTTATTTTGATTTTTGTCGTAAAAAATGTTAACGAATAGACATCATTGTGCATTATTTATATTTATTAATATCGAGAAAAGACAACGTGAAATTTAATATCATATAAAATCAAATTTTCACATTTTATTTCCTGGAAATAAAATGTATATATAGGATGCAAATTTTGCTCTACTTTGAAAGATTGAAAGATAGCATGTGTGAACTGAGAGTTAATGTAGATAAATGATTTCGAGATTCGAAATAATCTATATTATTATTTTTTTTTTTTTTTTTTTTTTGAGAGAGAAATGTTTTGCTTTGTATTGCAAATGGCAAATGTTCAAAAAATGACTTTTCTTTCAATTCTAAAAAAAATAGCATGTTATTTTGATTCTTTAAAATTTAGCTTATGTTACTTTGACCTTTCAACTATGATTTTAAAAGAAGTAAATACATAAAAGAAAAAGAATATATTACTATTCTTTAAAAATATAAAAATTTAAAGCCTTAAAATTTTGCAAATATTTTTTAGTAAATTTTGATAGTTCTGTAGTATCTAATTTTGAATCGATACTTCTGTTTTATAATCGTGTTTTAAAATATGAATTACATAATGTCGTTGAAATTTTGAGCAAATTCAGATTTGGATAATGTAATTTTAATAATAAATTATTTTGATAACAAATATCCAATATCGAGCGATTTCCACATTTACTTTTACTAATGAAAATGTGATTTGGTGTGTGACATATTTCTTCGTATTTGCAGCAACGAAAATTTAATTCAAAATTATATATTTCAAATGAGATTTTATTAAATATAAACTTGTGAAGAGAAAATTTTACGTTTCACGTGTAATGTAAGTACATGAAATTAGTTTAACGAGTATACCGGTAGTATAATGTACGTAAGCGCATACATATACATTTATAATATTTACGTATATAACTTAAAATCAATAATTCAATAAGCGACGCGCGTTCTATTTTTTTTTTTATTTTTATTACTGTACGCGTGATCAGAAATAGAAATGCGCATAAGTCATTGAACAACGCTTGCAGAATAATCAGCTTCTTTAAACATTAATGTTAACTTTATGATAGAAAGGGATTATGATATTTTATGTGTATGTTTTATGATGAGATATTCCACGACATAAACGCGTGTTTTATATTATTTACATTATTATTCAAAAATATTATTTATTCGAGTTGTCTATACATCACTCTGTTCATCTTTTTTAATTGTACCACGATATATCATATATTAGATATATTAGAACATTGATTGTTTTATTTTTTTGTTTTGTACGTTTTACGATTTTTCCTTAATTTTTTTATTATATTGATGAAAATTAAAATTCGAAACGTTAATCTTCAATATTATATAAATTAATATTATATAAATTTATTTATTATCGTATGTTTTTATTTTATTTGCTTTGGAATTCGGCGGCTAAGTCCCTCATTTTGCTGTGCAAATAAACAACGAGTCTATATTTTTATTTATTTTTAAATCGATGATGAATATATATTCACAATCGACATTTTTGCGCGATGTCGACGAGTTTATTCAACCAAACGACTTTGCGCTCTCGTAATTGATACGATCGATGGGATCGTATGACAACGATCTCGTTCGCCTCGATCTCCATACATCTAACGGCGATTAACGTCGCGTCGCCTCGCACCGCGCCGATGGTGGCAGATGTGACGGAAAGTGGTGGAGAACGAAACTCCGGTAGGAGGTGCCGAAGAGTGGCGGAAGACACGTAACGCCATGCGGACGCGAACGACAGAGATAGCGGCAGCGACAGAACGATAGACTGGACGAGAAGGAACGTAGAGAAAAGCACATACAGACACACACACAGACACAGGCACACTCCGGTAGGAGGTGGGAGCTTTGCGGAACGCAAGGGAGATCGGAACGAGAGGCAACTTGGTGAGGGCGGTTGGAAAGGAGAAGGGAACGGCGGAAGCCATGAGGAGTCTTACTGCGGTGGGGGCGAGGGTGGGAGAGGGGGCGGTAGCGGCGGCGGCGGCGGCGGCAGCGGAGGCCGCTCGTCGTTCAACACGCAGGATCAGTCTCGGGGAGAGAGAGACCTCGCTCCGCCGCTTTCGCCCCGTTTCTATCTAGTACCTCCGCCGCACTCGTGCACGTTGGAAAACGCGCCGTTCTTCACGCGCTCGCGGTAAAAAGAAAGGAGAAAAAGAAGAAAAAACACACAAAAAAGAGAAGAAAAACCGCGCGCGAGTTTCGTCGCGTCCGGTGTAGAGTTCCGGTGGAGACGCGAGCGGAAGTCTCGAACACATTTTGTACTTTGCGCGGCGTTTGGTAGACGGGAAGCCTGTTGCGAGTCGCTTCCGTCGATCCGTCCAGTTCTTCCCTGACGTATTTCCGTCGGACGAGAAGGCCCCCATTCCTTTTCTTCGCTTCGATATCTCCTCTTCGAACCGACAAATCGATTGCCAAAGGCGTCGCGTGGTGTTGATCGCCGTTGTTGTCGGCTGTTGTTGTTGTTGTTGTTCATTACGGTCAACGGTGCCGGTTAAGAGACACGAAGCGAAAACGAGAGAAAGAGAGAAAAACAGAGAGAGGAGCATTGGGAGGACGCCGGAGAGCGAGAGGAGAAACTCGCGGACGTTCTCGTCCCGTCGTCCTCTTTTTAGCACGCATTCTTCTATTGGTCACTCGTCGAAGGGTCGTCACGGGGGAGGGGGAGAACGGTAGTGGGTGCCGTGTGCCGGCATGTAAGAATCGTGTGTTACGTCGCTATCTGTGTTACTAGCTCCAAGTGGCGATCTCGGTATTAAAGAATCGCATAGCACCACGGAAAAAATAGAAAAAAAACGAGAGAGAGAGAGAGAGAGAGAGAGAGAGAGAGAGAGAGAGAGAGAGAGGAGGAGGGAGGGAGGAGG